TGGGGCTCAACCTCACCAAGCATCACTTGCAACCGCTGTTCAAACCACTTACCGTGTACCTCCACGTTTCCATTCGGTTCCTCAGCCATCCCAACCGCATCTACAATAATCGATCCGCTACTGTCCATCGCATCCTGGGAATCTCTGGGCGCATCTGCGCTCGCAGCATCGTCCTTCAGCCACTTGGGCCTCGTGCGTGGCTGGGTCCGATTACCCCAATACGCGCGAAGCAACGCGAGATAGTATTCAGTCACTCCCAGCCGAAGCGGCGCCATCGCGCGCAGGGATGACGCATCGCACGCACTGCTGAAACACTTCCGCCGCTCCCCTGGCATGTAGCATGGGGGCCCCGTCGCATCCATTGCAATGGACTTCAGAGGGGGCTGAAGGGTCGGAGGCGGGCTGCACCTGGCAATGCCCGATTGTCGTCGAAATGAGCAATCGCCAAGTGGAAGTTCGCCGCCTGTCGCAGCGCCTCGGGGCTCGCATTCGAACGTCGCAGGCGTCCCGTCGTAGCCGTCGTCGCACGACCTATGTTCACGCAAAGTCGTCGCGGCGCAGCTCGCAAATTTTTTGGGGCGCCAAGGGCGCGCCCCCTCCCCCCGTCGTCGACCGAGCGCGCCTCCGCCTCCTGTCACCCGTCCTGGACGACACATGCCTCGGGCGGGCTCTGGTATATCCTTCTGATGAGCTTACTCGTGTATATATGAGTCCAGCGGGGGAGCAAGACTCCTCGGCCTCCACCATCTGTCCGCGCACGCGCGTGGCCGTCCTGGCGCGGAAGCGGGTGCCCCTTCGCCGCCCCCAGTGACGACGTTGCAAGCCTCCAGCGCTTGCTCAGAATACCTCCGGAGATGGGGCGTCGGACCCCCGCTCGCCGCGCCGACGGACTCCGCGGGGGCCCCTGCAGATCCCGCGAACCGCGTCGCAGCAATCGAAGGGGCCTCGAAGATAAAGAGCCAGCCCGGAGACATCTTATATTTCGCAATCTGGGCGCATCCCAAGACTCGCCGCTACGCGCCCCGATGTTCCCGAATATGTCGCTCCAGGTCATTGCGCTTCTCGTCGGGGGCCCAGTTCTGGAAGGCCAGTAGCTTCGCGCAAGGGGGGGTGGGGAGCGAATGCGGGGGTCGGGCGCAGGGCCCTGGCAATGGTGACTCTACGGGCCACGCGTGGGCGATGCGTCCTCGATCGCCGCGCTCGGCGGGGGAAACGCTCGAAGCCCCCCCGCCTGCGGCCCCGCGCGAGACTCGAGTGCGAACGACGCGAGGAGGCGGGTGGCCGGGGGGGGGGGGGGCGGCGAAGGCAACGCGCGCTGGGGGCGCACGAAGAGAAGATTGGAACGATCGAAGGCGGCGAGGTGAGTGTCAAAATCTGACCGGCCAATATGACGCGCGGAACACTGGCCCTCAATTTTGGGCATCTTGAAGGCCCGGGCCAAACGTGAATTCACATTGCGAGGGCAAGCGACATGTGAATTCACATTGCTGGAGAATTGAAAACGTGAGTTCGCGCCGCGGAAAGAAAAGAGAACGCGACCTCGCATTTTGGAATTGCACGCAGATTTCTCTATGAAGGGGCAAGAATTGATGGGAAAAAAGGAAGATGTGAATTCACTATTGTGGGGGCATGGTTGGGCGCGCTCCAAGTCTGTCTCAGGAGTCGACCAGACATCGCTTGGGAACGCGCGCGATCATCAATCGCGCGCTCAAGACGCACGCGCAATCCACTTCGCCGCGCCACGCGCGATATGCAAGAGCGCCCACGCGCACGAGCGAGAATGGGCGGGCGGCGCGTTCGCCCACGCGGGCAACGCGCGGGACGAGCAACTGGCCCTTGTATGACAGCCAACATTGGATATCAATCGTACCCGATCGCGTGAATTAACCATATATCGAGCACGCACGGGCCATTCAGCCCCCATTGCAGACCCCCTGTTGCGGGCCCCTGTTTTCGCCCGAGGGGGGCACGATGACGCATTGCGACTCCTGTCTCGATTCGGCCCCGCGGCTCCCACGCGCCCTCTGACGCGCGAGCGCCCCAGCCTGCGACCTTGTCGAACGACCCGAGGCCCTCCGCTCCGCGCCGCGGCGCCGGCGGGCGCGCCCCCGGAGGCGATGGGAACTCCGTCGGCCGAAGACCCGGCTGTAGTCTGAGACCTTAGGGCGCCGGGCCGACCCCGCTGAAAAGCCGGCCCAATTTCCTCGACCCTCAGCCTCGCGTCGCCCACTGTCGCGCCCCGGCCCCGTTTCTTCTCGAGCTCGCGGCCGAGCGCGTCCGCCTCGCAGTGGCCGCCCCCTTCTGCCGCCCGAACTCGAACCGACGCGCGAGCTGTTCGAACCGTGGAAGACTGTCGCTCGTGCTGAGTTTGGCCTGGGCCATCTTCATCGCCTGTTTGCTGATCAGGGGCCCGGCCTTGCCGCCAATCGCGCGGGCGAAAAAACCCACCCGTTTCTTGACCCGCGGGGCGGGCCCCTGAGCACGTCGGATCTCCCCGCCGTAGCTCTTGAATCGAATGGTCGGGGCCGGCCCCCCCCGCCCCGCCTTCGCGCCCGTCTCCTTCTCGCGCCCCCCGAACGTCTCGGAGCCGATCGAGGCCGCGCCGCAGCCTGAGCCGAGAGCGCCGCGACCTTCAGCGTGGCGCGCCCGCGCTTCGGCATTGTCGCTGTCTCCATCTGCCTCGTCGATCTCGCCCGCGTCGACGCCCCGCCCGACTCACGCCGCTCGTGGGCCAGTCGACGGAATCGCGCCTCATTCGTCAGCCCCACGATCAGGTTAGACTTTTCCGGAGCACGATGCCAGCAGCGCGCCCGCCTCAGACCGCGCATCCTCGTCGTCGATCGTCGGGTGAGTCACAATTATCTGCGCGGCCGCCTCCTGCCTCGCCGTCTTCTGACCCTGCTGGCGCGCCTTGGACATAATCTTGGGCGCATATGGCAACCCTCCTTCTTTGTGCCACCGCCCTTCCCGTGCTTCGGGCATTCCCGACTGCAGTGGCCGATGCTCTTGCGCAGGAACGCCGCGCCTTGTCCTTCAGTCTCTGGAAATTGACTGAATCACGTTTGGGCAAGCCTCGCTGTAGCTTCTCTCTGGCCAGCGCTGTTCTCGTCTCTTCCCACGTAGTTGGAACGTCGATCGCGTCTTCCTCGTCCATGGGCTCTAATTCCTCCAGCAGCTCGTTCGACCTCGTCATCGATCACCGGCCCTGCCTCTGCTGCTAGCGCCACGACCGATCTAATAAACTGTTCAGCCCAGGCGGTAGCCTCATGCACCTAGGACGCTGGCATCTGCTTCGAGCAAGCCGCCCGACTGGCCGCCGACATTCCATCCAAGCCCAGCTGTCTCTGACAGGCGGCTGGCACTACAGCTCGTATCTCAATGCCAAGCCTTGCCCCTTTCAAGAGCAGGAACCCTTGTGCCGCGGTCGGGAGCTCCACTTCGTCTTTCGTCGCCTTCGCGAAGATCGCTATCGCTCGCTTCTTGCGTGCGCCGGCGACGTCTCACCGTGCTCTTTGGCGAATCCTAACACGCTCTTTGGCGCATCGCCGATTCTTTCGCTGGCCTCCTGATCCGGGAACCGTTCCTCCAACGCCTGGAAATTGAATTCGGCTCCTAAGTCCGTCTCGAACTCCGTGGGCCCCAGGTGTTCGCAGGCCTTCTCCGCTTCGTCGCCGAGCAATGTCAGCACCAATGGACCAAGGGCTTCCAAGGGGAGTCCTCGCCTCGCCTCAACTGCCAGCTTGGCGCCGATCCACCGCCGCCAGATGTTGTGTTCCGATGCTGCGTCGTTCAGCTTGCCGGACAGCCTCCGCCACTGTCCAGCTCCTGGTCCGCCCTGAGATCCACAGGCTGCCATGTCTCCGCTGGAAGGATGCGATTTGGGTCAGGACCAATGCGAATCCCAAACTCGTTGGAGCACCTCCTCCGGCTCGAAAATCTGACCGATTTTATCTCTGACGCTACTACTTTACTCGCGCGACCCCCGGGCGCGAGCCTCTCCCCGATAGGCTTGCCAATATTGGTCTGGGCCGGAGCGGGAGCAGCGGGCGAGAGAGAAGGGCCGAAAAGGTGGGCATGTACAAGCGCAAACACTATGCAGTAGGCGATACCTTGCACGCACACTGCAACTCACACCTCCCTCCTCCTCCTCGTCCTCCTCCGCCTCCTCCTCCTCCTCCTCCCTCCTCCTCCTCCTCCTCCTCCTCCTCCTCCTCCCCCTCCTCCTCCCCCTCCTCCTCCCCCTCCTCCCCCTCCTCCCCCTCCTTCTCCTCCCCCCCCTCCTTCTCCACCTGGATCAAACTTCCCAATAATTACCACCTCCATGTCGCACCCCCAGACGTGTCGATGGGGCGGACCAGGCGTTTCGCCCGAGACTTCCTCACCACTTATGATCAGGGGCTTTGCTCTCTGCAACGAGTTCAAAAAATTGGAGGGCAGGTCTTTTTCAAGGTGAGGATCTGACCTTAGCGCCGCGTGCATTCGTCTCATCAGTGTGATACAGCTTCACAGATGCAGGGCGGGCGGTTTTCAACATGCTGTTCTCCCTTCACCTTTGCGCACTTTCGCTTTAAAGCTTCAGCAGTTTCGAGGATAGACGGTGGGCGGTTTTCAAAGTGTGGTTCTTTCCTTGAGCGTCGCGTGCATTGGGGTTGAAAGTCTGCACCAACTTCAAAGATGGAGGGCGGGTGGTTTTCAAAGCGTGGTTCTAGCCGAAACACCGCGTCCATTCGAAATGCAGGCTTGCAGCAGTTGAAGTCCCAGAGGTTGTGTTCTGGCACGGTTCAAGATTGCATGGGCGCAACAGGCACGTTATTTTGCGGCGTTGGCGTCCCAGGAAAGGACGCGTTTCTTGCAACATCGCTGGTGCGTGTTAGGTTTGCACTGGTCTTTCCCTTTCTCCGCTTCCCCCGCGTCCTCCTCCGCCCACCCCCCGTTCCACCCCCTCCTCTCCCTCCCCCCTCCCTCCCCCCCCTCCCTCCCCCCCCGTCGCGAGAGGGGGAGGCCTTGAACGTCAGGAAATCATCCACGCTGAGCAGCTGCTCCACCAGCACCCGATGCAGCTGCTGGTCCCCGCCCAGGCCCGCCGAGCAGAAACTGGAGGCGGGGCCCCGCTCGTTCCGTCGGCCCTCTCCGCGGCGCCCGCCCCTCCAAGACATCCGACCAGATATGCGTTTTGTGACTGGCGTTTTGTCCTTTGTTTTGCGGGCTCCACAAATATACGCCGCCACATGGCAGCAACAGAAAGTAGAACATCACGCGCGCCACTGCCCCGACTGGGGCCGCCACTGCGTGCCTGCGCCAAACGCAATTACTTGTCACGTGGCCATGCGCGCTGATGGCGGCCGCATTTGCTCGAGAACAGCTGCTGCCAACCACTCCATTGCCACAAAGGGGTGGTGTATAAAAACCACGGCCCCCCAATAATCTTATACACCAACCCGAAATGTACACCGAGCTGAAAAGTACGTGTTTTTGCGCAGAAAACAGCGCGCCCAAATGACGCTGCGCAGAAAACGTGTTATCATCGCGTGTGTGGACACACTTTGCCACACACTTCCGAAACAAGAGCGGATTGGGTATGGGACACAAGCCACCCCCGCGAGAAGGGATCAGCATCGACCCAAGGAACGGGCAAACACAACCTTCGGAACCTGGAGGGACGACCAAAAACAACCTGGATACTCGACCCCGGAATGCGGAGGCACGGCCCACGGAAACGAGACGGGACGACCCAAGGAAACCAGTGACTGCCCCAACCAGAACCCCAGAAGCGCTCCCAGGGAACGGTCGACGTCGCGGGGCGTCGTCCTCAACGTCGTCGGCCGTCGTTGTCGTCGTCGTTGTCGGCGTCGTCGTCGTCGTCGTCGGTCTCGACGTCGGTCTCGACGTCGTCGGCGGTCCTCGGCCCCTCGGTGACCCCTCGGCGGCCTTCAGACGCGCAGATCAACGGCGCGGAAAATGACGACGGCAAACGACGACGATGACGACGACCAGGACCCCTCCGAACCTCCGTCGACACTGCTCCATCGACGTCACCTTCTTCCCCGTCGTGGTGGGGCATCTGTCCGACCAGACGTTCCCAGAACATCACGGGGCATCGAAGAGCACCTACAAGCTTCCCCATCCTTCTTCCAATTGGCCCACCTGGACCGAAACGCGTACCCCTCAACCCCATTTCCAACACTGAACTTCCAACCGCCGCAAGAACCCAAAACTTCAGGAATTACCCCCCAGAAAAAACCCAACACGAATCGTCAGGAACCCACGGAACTCCTGGAATCCGTCAGGTCTGTTCGAACTCTTGCGAACCATCGACCGTCGATCCTGCCCGTCACATGGCAGGACCTATGAGAAGAACTGTTACACCAAAGAGAAACCCCAATCAATGGATGGTTTGATGAGATCGATCATGAAATCGATAATGGATCGTGGGATCGATCAAGAGATCGATAAAGAGATCGACCGGAACCCGGGAGCCCGGGAACCCAGCCCACCGAAATCGGCACGGAACCATTAACGGGGAAACCGGGAACCCGGAACGGGGAACGGGGGAACCCAGCATGCTACCAAAATCGGCGGGGAACTTTCGCCAAATCTTTCAACAGGGAGCCCGGGAACCTGGAACCCAAGAGCCCCGCCTTGCTACCGAAATCGGCGGGAAACTTTCGCCAAATCTTTCAACTCCCGCTAGGACCCTTTCAGTGCAAGCACGGATTGGGGAAACATTCGCCGCGCGGTACCGCAGGCGGCGGAAAATACCACCATACGGTGTTCGCCACGTGCCTACGCAGTGGGGCGCAACCGAACTGCAATACATTCTGCCCGTCATCTGGCACAATTTGGACGCGAACCTATTATCATCGAATTGAGGGTTCAGGCGCAGCCTGAGGCGCTATGTTGGCGTTGATGGATTCTGATGGCCTCGCAAACGTCTCTTTTCGATGGCCTGTTCTTCGGCCCGCGGTGGAATCGACGAAACGCGGATCGCCAGTTTTTCGGGCATCGAGGCGCCGAACAAAGTTGATCACGCTGTGCGCGGGCCCCGTCGGGGCGAGGACTTTTCGGCATCGTTCGTTGATGGCCTGATTGTATCGCCCTGAATCCACCAGAGTTCGGGTCAAATCTGCGATCTTCTAGCGAAGAAGCTTCCGCCGACTGCCGCAGTGCCCAGAAACTCCCACAAGGCAATGTGGATGTAGGTTGGCGACCGAAGAGTCGAGTCAACAATGTTCCCCGTAGGTAGGGGAAGGCAGGGGAGCCGTGGGCGGGCGGCGCTGTACCTGATGCCTGTACCAGAGCCGAGAAGTCGGCGGTAAATAATAATAGAATGGTGATGCGAACGGACTTCGCACGCGCGCGCACCCCGCCCCGAATCCCGCCCGCTCCACGCGGGCCTCGGCCCTGCGGGAAACGAAAACGGGGTTCGGGAACAGAGGTATGAGGTCCACGCAGTGCCGCAACCTGTCCACCGCTCTTCCACGAGGCCGTCTCGGATGGGAAAGGGGGCGAACGGGGGCCAGCCCCGCCGCGCAAGGTGCCCAGGGGAGTCCACCCGCCTTTCGCGGGCCCAAGGTGCGCCCCCCAGAACGCTTCGGCGCTCCCGGGCGACTACCCGCCACCGCGCGCGACGAGGCTGGGGGGGGGCAAGGGAAAGTAGAACATGTGGAAAACAATTCCGCGCCAATGGCACGGGCGCGGATTTTGTTTCCGCCAGCGCGCAGAGATTCGAGCGCAAAGCGACTGCGATACAAAACTATTGCGATCAACGTTGCATCAAAAACTGAGCATGCAACAGGCACATCACTCACTGGGCTTGCCAAACCCGAAGTCAAATTTGCATTCAGATCGAAGTTGGCACGGCACGTGATCGAAGAGGTTGTAAATGATCAAGCTGCCGCGGCAACTGATCGAATAAGTAATGGTAAAACGGATTGCGCGAAGCACTCCAGCCCTCGAAAAAGTGCGATGGTCTTCAAAGCATCGCAATTACGCGATAACGCTGGCAGAATAAGAGTCAAAGGAATCATGCTTTGCATATGTCGCACTGTGTTTCCGACATCCCATGGGAAGAAAGTGGGATATATGGTGCGAAAATATTTGCGACGGGCGACCTGCCTGGGTGCGCTCATGCCCTCGAAGTCGCCAAAATGTCACTCGCGCGTGGCGGGCGACCTGCCAGGGGCGGTTATGTCCATAATGCCAAGGGATAGGCAACGGTATTCTGTCATATGAAAACCGAAAGAGATTTGGCACGACTACCAATCGATACGTAACGATATCATATCATTAACAAAACAGTCAAGGAAACATCTGTTGGTCACAATATGCGGTTTGCTACGATAATCAAATTGTCCAATAGTGCGAGTAGCAATATTATCAGGCCAAATGATATCTCAATCGTTCTCATCGACCTAGATACAGTTGTTCAGATAGTACGACCAGTAGCGGCATGTGTTGTCGCTGTAGTGCTCGGGGGTGCAGCGCCACCGCGCCACTGCGAGCGCCCTGCGGGTGCCGCTCCGAGTGCGCTTGCCGGCCATGCGCTGGGAGCCTCGTGGCGGGCGCGGCGGCGCAATCTGCCTCCGCGCCCCCGCCGAAATCGGCGCGGCATCTGTTGCGGCCCCGCCGCTCCAGTCCGCGTCGCCGGGGGCAGGGTCGCCAGGAGACGCCGCGCCTGAGGAGGAGGAGGCATCGCCCATGGCAGGCCCATCGCGGCGCGGCAGTGGAGGAGAGGGCGACGGGGCAGAGTGGGGGCTGGTGGCCAGAACGATCCCCTGGCCGAAGGCTTGACCCTCGCAGTGGTCGTAGCAGCGCGATGCTTCGCTCTGAGCTGCGCCGAAGCCACGCGGTCCTGACCCGTCTCGCCGATCTGGAGAGCGCTCGCACACATCTCGCAGATGTGCTCGTCGAGTTTGGCAAAGAAGCCGGCGCGAGCTATTGCGTCCGTTTGAATTTCGATTGCTCCTGCCGGGGCCAGTGTCCCAATCCGCTCGCGGGTGCTTCCACCGGCGCTCAACTCATGACCAAGATACCAAGATCGCGGATGGCCTGATCAGGGATCGATCGCGCGAGCGCAGTCGGCGGCCGCATCGGCGGAAAGAGAGTCGCGCCCCTTATCGCTCATTTATTTGATCGGGGGGATCGCCCACCGCCATGTCTCCGCGAGATATGCGTGCTGAGACAGTGCCAGGATGCTCGGCCATGACCTGCTCGGTCTGCTCCACGAAGTGCGAAGGAGCCCTCTCGTCACCCTGCACGATATCATCGCTATCAGTGCGGAGTACGTCGACGACCGCCGACCCCAGAGGCGCGTGCGATGAAGAGGCGCGCGACAACCACCTTCTACAATCATCGCTGCTGACCAAAAATGTGACATCGATGCTGCCCAAACATTTGTGGCCCTCTCCTCCACGCCCCGGCATTCCGACCCGAAACTTACCGACGCCCTCCACCGCGCTCCCACCACGCCCCGTCACCCCCACCCCACGGGAGCTCAGTCCTTGGGACTCCACACGACATTTTTTTTTGCCCGAAGCTGCTCGACACCCTCCGCCGCGCCCACCCCGCGCTCCCACCAATCCCGGCACCCGCACCCCACGAGAGTTCAGTCCTTGGGACCCTCCAGAATTCCTGCCCCGACACCACCCGACACTCCCCACCGCGCTCCCACCACCACCCCACCACGTCCTGACACATGAACTCAGTTCTTGGACACCCCACACGACAATTCCTGGCCTGCCCCGATACTTACCGACACCCCCCACAGCGCCTCCACCACGCCCCCACCACGTCGCACCCCCACCCCAAGAGAGCTCAATTCTTGACCCCCCCCACACGACCATGTCCCGGCACTTCCACCCCACGAGAGCTCCGTTCTTGAGACCCCCCACGCGACAATTTCTGGTCCGAACCTTACCGACACCCCCCACCGCGCCCCCACCACGCCTCCACCACGTCCCGGCACCCCCACCCCACGAGAGCTTCGTTCTTGGACACCCCACACGACACTTTCTGGCCCGACACTTACCGACAACCTCTACCGCGCCCCCACCACGTCCCGGCACCCCCACCCCACCCCACGCGAGCTCAGTTTTTCGGACTCCCCACGCGACAATTCCTGTCCCGACGCTTACCGACACCCCCCACCGCGCACCCACCACGCCCCCACCACGTCCACGCACTCCCCACTCCACGAGAGCTCCGTTCTTGGGACCGCCCACGCGACAATCTCTCACCCGAACGCAACCGCCCTCCGAGGAGCTCTCTCCCGAAAGGGACCCTCCGCGAAGGCGAGCTCGCCCTGCTCGTCGCCAGGAGCTCTCAGCGTGCGCGTGCGCGCTGGCCGCAGCGGCTCTCCCACGAAGACGGGCATCTCGACTGATTGCAATCGGGGTTCGCCGAAGGCGGCGCGGGCGGCGGCGCAAGCGGCGGCGCAGGCGGCGGCGCGACCCTTGCTGCGGCGGCGGTCGCCACCCCGAACGCGCGGAGCGGCGCGCCAAGGTCGGGCTGGGCGGAGGGGGCGCCGCGCAGCAGGCGCCGCAATGGAGCCGACGACGTTGCCCCCCACTCAACCTTGGCCTCCCTCCGCCGCGTCGGACCCGGCGGCGCCTCCACCATCTCGCCTGCGCGCCCGTCGGCGCCGACGCGGCCTGCGGCGCCCCCTGCTCGCTGGGCACCGCGGGGCGCGCGAGCGAAACCTGCCGTACCCGCCGCAGCAGCGGGGGCCTCGATCGCAGCCAGTTCGGCTTCGACCTCCGCGCCGCGGCCGTCGCCGGCTGCCGCCACGGCACGAGCGCCGCCCCCGCTCGCCCGGGCGCCGTCGGTGGCCTCGGCCGGCGCCCCCTGCGCCCCGTGCGCCTGCGCGAGCGCCTGCACGTCGGCGCGCGACAGCGCAACAGCGAGCGCGGCTCCAGGCCGCGTCGGCTCGCTGCCGCGGTGGCTCCCCAACGCAGCGCGGCACTGAAGCTGCGTGCAATACAGTGGGGGCTCGACCACAAAAAACCTTCCACAAGAAACCCAACCCTGAGACCCCAGGACGTCCATGGATTTTCGGCGTGGGAACGTCGCGCTCCTCATCGCAAAACCATCGAAACCTAAGAGACTCAGGGCACCCTGGAGGCAAGCAGGGTGTTTCTTGGCATGGGTCTCCACTGTAGCGCGGCCCTCCGCACGACGGCACTGCGCCTCGCGTTTGGCCGCTGCACGGTCGGGCCGCGCGCGCTGGGGCGTTGCGCCGGCGAGTGCTGGCCCATGCGTGCGCGCGGGCTGGGGGACGGCGGCGCGGGAGGGTCCGAGGGGCCTGTGCCGAGCTGGCAGGAGGAGGAGTACGAGGAGGAGGAGGAGGAAGAGGAGGAGGAGGAGGAATAGGAAGAGGAGGAGGAGGAAGAGAAGGAGGAAGAGGAGGGGGACGATGAGGAGGAAGAGGAGGGGGACGATGAGGAGAAGGAGGAGGACGAGGAGGAGGGGGAGGGGGAGGTCGGAACCACTCTCGAAACGACCAAAACAACTTCGATACTCTGGTCCTCTTCTCGGGTCCTCCGCGTTCGCCGCCTGCCCCCTTAATCCTCCTCCCTTTCCCGTTCGGCGCGGGGGCGGCCGGCCTCTCAAACTCTTCCGGCATCACTGAGACCTCGGGGGCCCTCCGGCAGAGTCCCACCAGAAAAGCGCAAAGGGGGTGGATCCGCCTCGTCGTCGCCCTCCTCCTCCCCCCCCTCCTCCTCCTGCGCCTCTGCCTCCTCCTTTTTGACGCTTGACTCTGTGGGTGATTCTCGTCCTCCTCCTCATCCCCCCTCCCCTACTACTAATAATACTGCTACTACTGCTACTACTACTGCTACTACTACTACTACTACTACTACTACTACTACTACTACTACTACTCCTACTACTACTACTACTACTACTACTACTACTACTACTACTACTACTACTACTACTACTACTACTACTACTACTACTACTACTACTACGCTACTACTACTAACTGCTAACTACTGCTACTCCTACTCATGCTACTACTACTACAACTGCTACTTCTACTACTACTACTACTACTACTACTGGGCATGCCATGCTTGACTCGCTCGAGCTGGCTAGCTTGACTCCTGACTCCTACTTACTTACTTACTACTACTACCTACTACTACTACTACTACTACTACTACTACTACTACTACTACTACTACTACTACTACTACTACTACTACTATTACTACTACTTACTACTATTACTTTATTGCTACTATTACTACTATTACTACGACTACGACTACAAATACTACTACTACTACTACTACGACGACTACGACGACTACGACGACGACGACGACGACGACGACGACGACGACGACGACGACGACGACGACGACGACGACTACTACTACTACTACTACTACGACTACGACTACTACTACTACTACTACTACTACTACTACCACTACTACTACTGCGGCGACTACTACTACTACTACTAATACTACTACTATTTTTTTTCCTTCACAGTCGACACGAGGTCAGTCCCTCGTCTGTTCCGGCCTGGTCCCGCAAGTTCGAGCCAGGCCAACCAATACTCGCTCCGTCGTGAGCGGGCGGCGCTCCGCGTGGGCGCCCTGTGCACGGCCTCGTCGCCGTGAGCGCCACGCTCACTCGATCGCCGGAGCAGGGGCCGGGGGCCGCCTAGGAGCCCCCCCTGCGGCCCTGCCAAGCGCGTGCATCTGCGCGAAGAACCCAAACGGCCCGCCCGCGAGCGGAGCCTGCCCGGAGGAGACGTCCCCTCCCACATCGGCCGCCGGGGGCTCGGGATCCGAAGCAGCAGCCCTGCCCTTCTTTCCTCTCTTCCCCTTGCCGTCCCCCTTCTTGCCCTTCTTGCCCTTGCCCCCCTTGCTGCTCGCCCCCGCGTCCTCGTCCTCTGCGGCACCCTCGCCGCCCTGCGGCCCGGTGCCCTGGGACCCCTCGCTCTTCCTGGGGCGCCTTCCGCGGCCGCCAGGACTCCCCTTGCCCCTGGGCGACTCCCCCTCCCCCTTTTCGGCCCAACCCTGCGTCTCTCCCAGCGCCACCCCCTCCGCGTCGCCGCAGTTGCCGTCGTCGCTGTCCAGATCGTCCGTAGTCCTCACCGGCGAGCCCGGCCGGTCCCCCTGATCGCTCTCGAGGCTCGACAAGCCGCTCGGCGTCATCTGCAGGCCTCCGGACGCGGTCGCCGACACCATGTCTGTGGTGGCCTCGACGGACTTCGAATCCTTGGACGCTGCGGGCACCCTGGCCACCAAGCTCTCGAGCCACCCCGCCAGCGAGCCCCGGACCACGACATGCATGGCTCCCTTCGTGTTCGACGTGAGCACTGCCGCGGGGACGCCTCCCTTCTCTGCCCACACGGCCACCGTCGTGCACTTCTCGGAGCCTGCGAGGCGGTACTCCAAAGCACCAAGGCAGGCAGACGAGGGCAGCTGCACGACGGTGCCCTTGCCGTCGTACTTCTTGCAGTACGGGGGGTGGCGCGACACCACGCCCGCATTGTAAGCCCTGAAGCGGAAGGCCTCCACGGGGAGCCCGGTCAGCCCTCCCGTCTTCCTGGCCTCGCCCGCGGACCTGCCGGCAGGGGGGTCCGAGTACTGGAGGCCGTAGAGAGCGGCCAGATGCTCCTTCGACGGGGGCTTCGACATCTTCCGCATCGCCTCGTGGAATGCGAACAGGGCGGCGTGCGCGGCGCGCGCCGCCAGGGACAGGCCCTCCACGCCCGCATCTGTGGCAACGGCGCCGTGAAGCACAATGCGACCCTTCTTAGCATCGCCGAACCGGAACTGCTCGCGGGCATGCTCGTCGTCCGAGTCGCCCTGGCCGAGGAGCGGATCCCACGTCGTGCTGCCCACGGACGGCAACTCCAGCTTCGCCAGGCAGGTCTCGGCTGCCGTGGCCGACTCGGGCGTGTTCAGGCTCCTCCGGACCAGGCTGTAGACCCCCTTCGCAGCATTCGTCGCATGCGGCTCCCGGGCGAGCTCCGCCAACTCCAAGAAGGTGGCCAAGGACATGGACTTGCTCGCACAATTCCGCCCCCCCCACTGCAAGGTCACTCCTGTCGAGGTGATCTTCTCGGCATGCAGCACCGCCACCCTCATCCTCAGGTCCGGGTCGATCGTGTGCTCGTCTCCGTAGCCGTTGGAGTTGAGCGTGGCGATGACGTGGGGGCCGGCACTCACGGGCCCGCCGCGGTATGTCGTTCCGAGCTGCGCCGGCTCCGCGCTCCTCGCCTTCTGCTTCGGGGCCATGTCCGTCGCCACCGCCTGCTCGTTCGTGCCCTTCTTCTTCAGCGTGCCGGACTCAGCCCCGGTGGCCGGTGTCCCGCGAGGCTCCGGTGCCGCTTCGGCCTTCGCCTTGCCCTTTCCCTTGCCCTTGGGGACCGGCTCCGGGGCAGCTGCGGCCGCGGCGGCAGTCGGCTGCTCCTCCTCCCTGGCACCCCGGGCCTTCGCGGCCTTGGCTTGCGCGAACATGGCGTCCAAGCTCAAGGGCACGCCATCCCCGGCTGCCGCCCCGGGCCCCCCTGCTGCGCTCGCCCTCTCCGCCGCCTTCGCACGGGCAGCCAGGGCCCTCGCCACACGGTTCTCTGCCGCGGGGTTCCTGCTCGGCTTCGGCTCCTCGGGGGCCTCTGCGTCGCTCTCGGAGGCGTCCGAGCCGTCCTCGTCGTCCTCCTCGGCCTGCTTGTCCTTCACCACTGCGGCGGCCGCGGTCTGCCGAACCTGCACTGTGCCCCGGGTCTGGTCCGCCAGGCGCTTCTGCATGCTCCTCGACGCAGCGTCCTTCTTCGGGGCCGTCTTCGTGAGCGCCGCAGCGAGCTCCGCCTTCGAGGTGGCGCTCGACATGGCCTCCTTGCTCTCCACCGTGCACCCGACGAGCTCCATCGCAGCGGTCGCCACCGAGGAGGGGACTCGAGGCAGAGCCACGCGCTCCTCCCACGCCAGCACGTGCCTCGGCCGGAACGCCTGGTTCTGCAGCACGGAGGACGGCATGATGCCATTCGCAGTCGTGATCCACAGCGTCATGTGCGGGGGTGCCTCGGAAGGGTGGTACGCCAGCTCCACGCACAGCCCGTTGGCGCCCAGGCTCTCGATCGCAGCCCTCGCCGGCTCGAACCCGACGACTGTGCTCGCGGAGAAGGCGATGCAGATCGCCCATCCCTCGAAGATGCCCGAATCGGTCAAGCCAGTCGCCACCTCCGTGGCGCGTTGGAAGGCATGCTCCAGCCCCCGCTTCACGAAGGCGGGGTTGATCCAGACCAAGGAACGACGACGGGACAACGCTGCCTTCTCCACGGCCTTGACCACCTCGATCGCCTTCATTCCGCCCACTTGCCCCGCCGCGAAGACCGCCAGCACCTCCAGGTCGGGCACAGACACGTCGGGCGCCAGCGACGTGCTCATCTTGCCGGCCACGAGCAGGAGGAAGTCCGGATCCGGCTTGTCGCTCGGGTTGCCGCAGAACGACCTCAGCAACTCGATCCAGAGCTGCTTGTTGGCGGCGGCCGCCTCGAGCATGGCCCGAGTGTCGCCAGGCGCCACCCATCCGGCGAAGGTGGAGGGCTCCGGGAGCACCTCGGCCAGCTGCTACTACTACTACTACTACTACTACTACTACTACTACTACGACTACGACTACGACTACTACTACTACTACTACTACTACTACTGCTACTACTACTACTACTACTACTACTGCTACTACTGCTGCTGCTGCAGCGACGACTACTCGTACTACTACGACGACTGACTACTTACTACTACTACTACTACTACCACTACTACTACTACTACTACTACTACTACTACTACTACTACTACTACTACTACTACTACTACTCCTACTCCTACTCCTACTCCCACTCCCACTCCTACTCCTACTCCTACTACTACTACTACTACTACTACTACAGATAGTATCCTGTTTACTGCTACTACTACGACTACTCTACTACTACTACTACTACTACTACTACTACTACTACTACTACTTCTACTACTTCTACTACTTCTACTACAACTAATACTACTACTACTACTACTACTACTACTGCTACTGCTACTGCTACTGCTACTACTACTACTACAACGACTACGGCTACTACTACTACTACTACTACTACTACTACTACGACTACTACTACGAACAATTCTACTACTACTACTACTACTACGACTGCTACCACTAATGCTACTACTACTACTACTGCTACTACTACTACTACTACTACTACTACTACTACTACTACTACTACTACTACTACGACTACTATTGCGACCACGACTACGACCACGACTACGACTACGACTACGACTACGACTACTACTACTACAACTACAACTACTACTACTACTACTACTACTACTACTACTACTACTACGACTGCTACTACTACGATTGCTAATGCTAGCACTAGTACTACTACTACTACTGCTGCTACTACTACTACCACGACTACCGCTACCACTACTACTACCACTACTACTACTACTACTACTACTACTACTACTACGACGACTACTACTACTACAATTACTACTACTACTACGACGACGACTGCAACTATTATTCGTATTCATACTACTATTGAGACTACTACTACGACGACGACTGCGACGACTACTACTACTACTACTGCTGATGCTGATGCCACTGCTACTATGACTACGACTACTACGACTACTACGACTACTACTACTACTACTACTACTACTACTATTATTACTACTACTACTACTACTATTACTACTCCTACTCCTACTCCTACTCCTACTCCTACTACTACTACTACTACCACCACTACTACTACTACTTCTATTACGACTACGACTACGACGACGACGACTACTACTACGACTACTACGACTACTACTACTTCTACTACGATTGCGATTGTGACTAATGATAGTGGCACGTGATGCATTTGCATGCTTATCATTATTGCTACTATTCACCCCCATATGTTCCTTTCATTAATATTGTTACTATTGTCACTATTATTATGAGTTGTATGTTATCCCCTTCCTGTTCATGTTCCTGATCCTGTTCCTCCTCCTCCTCCTCATCATCATCATCGTTGTCATTCCGTCTCCTGCACCTTCCTCCTTCCTCTTGCATCTCCCCTTGATCCCCTGCACTTGCCTTCCTCTCCTCCGTCCTTGTTCTTCCTCGTCCTCCCCCTCCCTCCTCCTCCATCACCCTCTTCACTTCTCCTACTGAGCCCCAATCCTTCGCACCCCTCTCTCATCCGTTCTCTGCGCGCTCCCGCGCGCGGCCGTTCCTCCTCCTCCTCCTCCTCCTCCTCCTCCTCCAAGGAGGAGGAGGAGGAGGAGGAGGAGGAGGAGGAGAGAACGGGCCAAGAAGAGGGCGGAGAAAGAGGAGATGAGGCCGAGGAGGAGGACAAGAGGAGAAGTGGCGGCGGAAAGAGAGGGAAGAGGAGAGATGACGGAGGATTTCCCACTGGCAAGCTGCAAGCTCCAAATATACTCTGGCGACCTTCGGCAACAAAAACGCAACCGTCAGCACCCGTTGGCCCGACCTCCACCAGGTGGGCCACGAACAGGTCCTGGATGAGCTGTTTGAACTGCTCGTGGCACTGCAAGTGCGACAACTGATTCTCTTCGCCTTCCTCGCGCCGCCAGAAGGGAGGTGTGGTCAAATGAAAGGATGGCGGTGTGATCCGCCGGACCCCCTGTGGGGCCACCAGGCTGTAGGACGAGATTGCTGCTCCCTGTGCCAGTTGCAGTTTCAAGTCTCCAATGTTACAGTCTACTCCCTGTGCCAGTTGCAGTTTCAAGTCTCCAATGTTACAATCCTGTGTTCTGTTTCCCAGTGTAAATTGTTGAAGTCCGCGCGAGGGGGGGGAGCCTCAAGTCAACAATTTACCACGCTCTGATCGCGTTGCCTGAATTCCCGGGGGGGGCGTGGGACATGAACAGAAAAATTGAGATTCGCGCACCCGCGGCCATAATACATCGCAAATTGCACCAGAGTCGCGTCCCCGAGGCCATTAACGCTTGCAAATTACACAATTCTTGCGCTTCCGAGGCAACACACCTTCGTAAAGTATATAATATTCACGTCCCCGAGGCCATGAACCTTTTCAAATTACGCCATATTCGCGCTGCCGAGGCCAAGAGTGCTCCAAGGCGTCCGAAGATGGTTCCAAGACGGCCCAAGAGGGCCCCAAGAGGCCCCAAGAGCGCCCCAAGAGGCCTCCCGAGAGAGCCCCAAGAGGCCAACATCGTTGATGTTACGACGATGTTTGAAGGATGTGGGCCTTCTCGCATGTTCGGCTTTCCGACGCTCCAAGACGGCTCAAGAAGCTTCCAAGACCGTCCCAAGGCAGCCCAAGAGGCCTCCAAGAGGGCTCCAAGACGGCCCAACAGGGCTCCAAGATTGCCCAAAAGCGCTCAAGACGGCCCCAAGAGGGGCCCAAGCAGGGGACTACGAACAGAAACTTTTATATTTGTGCTCCGACAAGCCCCCACGAGGCCCCCAGAGGCCGCCACTAGGCTACACGAGGCCCCAAGAGGCGCCCAAGAGGCCTCCAAGATGCCCAAAAGATACCCCACGAGGCCCCCACGAGGCTCCCCACGACACCCCAACACAAAGACAAGAGGCCTCAGACCCACAACCCAGGCACGGTGGCGGGATGGGCCGAAGGCCACTAGGATCCGCCGCCCCCTTCTGCTTTAGCAAAGGGGTGTCTGGCGTGCTGGATCCTATCGGTTTTGGTTTGGGTTCTTTTTCCAAAAGAACTCTCCCAATGGGTTTCGGCCCGTCCCGCCGGGGTCCCGGGATTTTTTCCACGGACCTCACTTCCCCAATTTTCTGCCCAAGACGGCTCCAAGATGGCCTCCAAGATGGCCAAGATGGCCTCCAAGATGATCCAAGATGGCCTCCAAGTCCACCCAAGATGGTCCAAAACGGCCTCCAAGACGGCCCAAGAGAGTCCAAGAGGGCCCCAGACGGGCCAAGAGGCTCCCCAGAGGCCTCCCAGACGGCCCAAGAGGCCTCCAAGAGATCCTCCAGGAGGGCCCGAAGATGCCAAAATCATTGATTTTCCTTAGGATTTTGAAGGATTTTGGAATGTGGTTCTTCTCGGCATTCCGACGGCTCAAGAGGCCCCCAAGATCGCCAAGGAGGCCCCCAAGAGAGCCCCATGACGGCCCAAGTGGCCTCCAAGATGGCCCCAAGAGGGCCCCAAGACGGCCCAAGAGGCCTCCAACACGCCCAAGATGGCCTCCAAGACGCCCAAGATGGCCTCCAAGACGGCCCCGAAGCGCCCCAAGAGGGCCCCCCGTTGGCCCAGAAAGGCCCCCAAGACGGCTCCCGACGGCGTCAGACGTGCCAGGAACCCACCAAGATGGCCGAAGTTGGCTCGAAGCTGGCCCAAAAGGGCCCAAGAGGCCCCCAAGAGGGCCTCCAGGAAGGCCAGGTTTCTCCTTAGGTTTTTGACGGATTTTCAGATTTCCTTTTCTTCGGCCTTCCGACGGCCCGAGACGGCCCAAGAGCCCCCAAAGATCGCCGAAAGATCGCCCAAGAGGCCTCCAAGGCTGCCAAGATGACCTTCAAGACGCCCACGTGTTCCCCGAAGGCTTTCCAAACCGATTCGGGGAACACATGGTCCGATGGCTTGGCAGGTCTGGCCTCAACGTTCGGCCACATACGACGGCCAAGATGACCTCCAAGACGGCCCCAAATGGCTTCCAAATCCGCCCAAGATGGTCCAAAACGGCCTCCAAGACGGCCTCAGAGAGTCCAAGACGGCCCAAGACGGCCCAAGAGGCCCCCCCAGAGGCCTCCCAGACGGCCCAAGAGGCCTCCAAGAGGTCCTCCAGGAGGGCCCGAAGAGGCCAAAATCATTGATTTTCCTTAGGATTTTGAAGGATTTTGGAATGTGCTTCTTCTCGGCGTTCCGACGGCTCAAGACGGCCCAAGAGGCCCCCAAGATCAACCAAGGAGGCCCCCAAGAGGGCCCCATGACGGCCCAAGTGGCCTCCAAGATGGCCCCAAGAGGGCCCCAAGACGGCCCATGAGGCCTCCAACACGCCCAAGATGGCCTCCAAGACGCCCAAGATGGCCTCCAAGACGGCACCGAAGCGCCCCAAGAGGGGCCCCCGTTGACCCAGAAAGGCCCCCAAGACGGCTCCCGACGGCGTCAGACGTGCCAGGAACCCACCAAGATGGCCGACGTTGGCTCGAAGCTGGCCCAAAAGGGCCCAAGAGGCCCCCAAGAGGGCCTCCAGGAAGGCCAGAAGAGGCAAAACACTGATTTTCCTTAGGTTTTTGACGGATGTTCATTTCCTTTTTCGGCCTTCCGACGGCCCGAGACGGCCCAAGAGCCCCCAAAGATCGCCGAAAGATCGCCCAAGAGGCCTCCAAGACGGCCAAGATGACCTTCAAGATGCCCACGTGTTCCCCGAAGGCTTTCCAAACCGATTCGGGGAACACATGGTCCGATGGCTTGGCAGGTCTGGCCTCAACGTTCGGCCACATAGGCGCTTCCACAAAGGCAGGGGGCGGCGGTGATTCGCCGTAGGCGTCTTAGATCCGCCGCCCCCTGTTGCTTGCAAGAGGGGTGCCTGGCGTGCTAGACGATTGCGGTTTTGGTTTTGGTTCTTTTTCCAAAGAACTCTCCCTGGGACTCTGGCGCGTCCCGCCAGGGTCCCGCGAAGGACCTCAATCCAGAAAACATTCATCCATGACGGTTCAAGATGGCCTCCAAAAGATGGCCTCCAAGATGGTTCAAGATGGCCTCCAAGACGGCCAAAGAGAGGAGGAGATGCCTCCAAGTCCGCCCAAGAAACCTCCAAGACGGCCCAAGAGGTGCCCAAGAGGCCTCCAAGACGGCCCAAGAGGCCTCCGAGAGGTCCTCCAGGAGGGCCCGAAGAGGTTAAAATGATTGATTTTCCCGAGGTCCTTAAAAGGTTCTTCGTATTTGCTTCTTTCGGCTTTCTGACGACCCCAGACGGCCCAAGGGGCCCCTAAGATCGCCCCCAGAGCGCCCAAGAGGCCTCCAAGATGGCCTCAGGACTGCCCAAAGAGGCCTCCAAGACGGCCCCAAGAGGGCACAAAGACGACCCAAAAGGCCTCGAAGACGCCCAAGATAGCCTCTAAGACGGCCCTGGAGCATCCCAAGAGGGCCCCAAGTCGGCCCAGAGAGGCCTCCCAAACGGCTTCCGACGGCGTCAGACGGGCCAGGAGCCTACCAAGATGCCCGAAATTGGCTCGAAGCTGGCCCAAGACGGCCCAAGAAGCCTCCAAGAAGGCCTCCATGAAGGCCAGAAAATGCCACACACACACACACACGCACGCACGCACGCACGCACGCACGCACGCACGCACGCACGCACGCACGCACGCACGCACACACACACACACACACACACACCCACGCACCCACACACACACACACACACACACGCACACACGCACACGCACACGCACACGCACACGCACACGCACACACACACACAAAAACACACACACACACATACACACACATATATATAGATGTATATACACATATGCTAGAACCATCGCGCGCCCTTCGCGCGCGCTCAGGTTCTAGCCCAGGCCAGGGGGGCGCTGGACGATCTTGGACAACGATATCAAGCACAGGCGCGCGACGGCATCTGAGGAGCTTCTGGGGTGTTCCGCATGCTTCGTCAACTGGCTGTTGGAGGCACCTCTTGGGTGCTTCTTGGGGGGGCGTCTGAGGGTCCCTTGGGGGCATCGGTTCTGCAATCTGAAGCCGTCATTGGCCGTCTTGGCTGCGTGGAAGCCCGACTTGAGGCCACCTGCGGCCAGATTGAGGCAATCCGGAAGCCTCCCGGGGGCCTCCTGGAAGCAGTTTTGACGCATCGAGGGCACTCTTGGGCTATCTTAAAGCCTCTTGGACGTCTCCTAGGGGCCTCTTAGGCCCTCGGGAAGCTATTGGGGTCCTCGTCGGACCACTTGGGGGCCTCTTGCGGCCTCCTGTGTGCCTTGTGGGGGGACCGATCTGCTGTTGGGTCGCGTTCCCCTTCTTGGGCCTCTCTTGGGGCTCTTGGGGCCCTCTCGGGCCGTCTTGGGCGCCTCAAGCACCGTCTTGGGGCCCTCGCGGGCCGTCTTGGGGCCTTCTTGGAGTCCTCTTCCTCTATATATGGGAGCGGTATTGGAAGCCTCTTGGGCCGTCTTGGAGCATCGGGATGCCAAAAGGCCGAAAACATTAAAACCCGTCAAAGCCCAATCGTAAAACAATGAGTTGTGCCTCTTGGGGCCACCTTGGGAGATCTCTTGGAACCTCGTCGGCCCTCTTGGGAGCTTCTTGGGGGCCTCTTGGATCCGATTGGGGGCCTCTTGGGACTTCCCGAGAACCTCTCGGGGTAGAAAGCTCGGATTCTCGGTTCGTGTTTCCCTTCTTGGGCCTCTCTTGGGGCCGTCTTGGGGCCCTCTCGGGCCGTCTTGGGCGCCTCAGGCACCGCCTTGGGGCCCTCGTGGGCCGCCCAGGGCCCTCTTGGAAGCCTCTTCGGCTATCTTGGAGCTGTCTGGAGGCCTCTTCCTCCTCCTCGTCCCCCTCCTCCTCCTCCTCCTCCTCCTCCTCCTCCTCCTCCTCCTCCCACTCCAACTCTCTCTCCTCCT